AAAATAAAAACTGATATATTTGACTTGGGGATCTTTTCCGTGCAAAACAATGATTGAAATTATGTCTTTTGTTTGCCCGGTAAACTTCAAAAGGTTAGTATAAGTTTTGCTCCAGTAGACTTTAAAATGTAATTTTTGCGCGGCTTTGTGAAATGAATCTACCACCTATATAATGGGTATCTTCGAACCTTAAGTTCCCTTTTACTAATTTTTGCAGTTTTGGTACAACTTTGTGCATGTTCATCTTTCTTTTCTTGTTACTGATACAGTATGCTAATATTGGACTTAGTTTATGATGCTTTGAGTAAGTTGATAAAAGCCCCTTTTTTTGGGTCTAGGCCACTGGCCGTAGGATAGAAATTCTTTGTATATGTATGACATTCATTTTCTTTTCAAGATCAGTCCTGTGAACTTTTCATGGTTATTGTTTTTGACGTTTCATTGAACATATAGGGTTCCATTGCAGCTGGAAGCTTATATTCGTTCTATATAATGTAGTCAAACAGAAGGATATAAAGAAGACTGACTTTCTGTGTAGCTTCTTCCTAGAAGGTTAGGTGGACTTCTTCCTATGCTGTATTTATTTTTGTGAAACATGTTGTCACAATAGTTTCTGTTTCTATTAATTTGAATCTTTTTTCTGTTCGGATGTTGCATATTCTAGATGCTTCATTTATAGGAACGCGTCTTATGAACATCAAAATTGCGCCTTATCCCACATTGGTTCAGAGATTGAGCTTGTTGTCTACTTAATGGTCTTTGGCTATCCTTATCTCACGAGTTAGCTTTCTAGGTTGAGGTCCATTTTCTTAACATAGTATCAGATACAAGACCTTATCTCCATTGTTCTGTTTTCCGATATTGGCGGCTCATGTCATGTTAGATGTCCAGCTCGATCTGTTAACAACGTTGGACCCCTGTGTGTGTTAGATGTCCAGCCATTAGCTTGTGAGGAATTGTTAATTGTTCCACATTGGTTGAGAGAACAAACTGTTGTATCCCTATATAGTCTTGGATTCTTGGGCAATACTCTTAAACTCACTGCCAAGTCAAAACCAGACAAACAAATTGAAAGGGAGGGAGTATTTTCTCTGTTCCATAACATATCTAGTATCATAGGTAGAGTAATATCTCCGATTTTATCATCCTGGCAGTGCATTTGTTATGAGACTTGAGTTGGTTTCTGCACTGCAGGTTAAAACTATTTTGGGGATAAAACTTAACCTGACATCAGATTTTGACAAATACTGCAGAAACTCTTCCTGTACGCTAAAACTCTACACATAACATGTTAAATTGGACTCTTATTCAGGTATTTGAATTATAGTCCTACTAACACAGTTTATGGCAGTATTCATGCACACTCCATATGTACTACTACATAGATATAAATAGATAAAACAACACGAAATTGATGTATACTCAATCACCTGAAGATTGTATATTTCTACATAACTACAAAACTGTGTATATACAATTTAAAGTATATGGAATATCAACTGCCACATTAACAGGAGAAAACATTTAGTAGTGAGCTTCTACATCTAATCAGGCATCTAAATGTTGCTTCCAATCCATCTTCGAAGCTGACAAGATAAGCCTCAAAGTTATCAAGCTTGGTATCTAAGCTCATGTTTTCTTCTAGGACTAGTGGAACTATTCTTTCTTTGTTTACCAATCTTGGAAGCAGTGACCATTTAGATGGCTTAGGCTTCAAAAGTGGCACACACAAGAAGGACAAGAGCATTTGGAAAGTTGAAAGACATGCTGCATTAGCTTCTTTTATTGCTCTTATCGCAGGTAATGCATCTTGATCTGCATCTAGCAAGACCGATACTGCAGTCACTCGATCCCTTTGCTTCAAAGTGGAGACTAATCTTTTGGCATCCCTCTTGATCTTCTTGATGAAAGAGGTAAATCTTTCAATGCTGTCATCTGTAGTTGAATCTCCTTTTCTCCTTCTGAGAGAGGATTGAAGATCTCTTACATTTTCTTTACATTGTGAGACAAGTTCTCTTATTGTGCCACAAAGGTCAAGAAGCCTCACTGATTTATCCAATAAATCGTCAAGCCATTTTGCATGTAGATTCTGGGAGAGGGCTTGAAGGGTTTGAGGTAAGTTGAAAAGATCATCAATGCACTTGAATGATTTCTCCAAACCAAGTAGACCATTGCTCACAGCTGCTGGTGCAACTGATACTTCTAAAGATTTGAGCTTGTTTAGCTCCACTTCAACTCTCTGGGTGGTTGGGTGTGATCTGCCAGGAAAACTGACTGACCGAATGTGATTAGGTTTTGAAGAAAGAGCAGTCATTTCTTATGATTTTCTCTCTGGTGAGGGGAGTTTTAAAACTTGTGTTGGCATTGAAACTCGAGTGTTGGTATTTATAGGTAGACAACCATAGTAAGAGTGACGAGATGAACAGTGGCCTAATTAAATAAGCATGTGATTGCACGGCTGGATTGCTTTATTTCTTCAGTTTAGTTAGTGTTTGTCATGTAATATGTATCCAGGAAAGGTTGTCTCCTCCATAAAAGCTTAAATCCATCAACTACTATAACACAAAATAATTAGATGATTGTGATAAAAATTATTGCATAGTAATGGGATTATTTTAAGGTGTCAAAGAGTTTCAAAGGGGCTAGTATATTAAATATAAAATTCATAATGCACGACTGAAGTTTATTTTATGGAACATGTACATGTATGGAAGTTTTCTTCTGGATTTGTTTGGCAAGGGGTTGGAATCATATCTCTATAAGCTTCTCAACTACATGTAATGTTCCTAATAATTCTGAGAAACTTAGAAAGGCCTAATGTACTTGATTAAAATAATGGGTGGTTTCCATGAGTAGCTTATTTATCAACTGTAGAGAGCACATATGAGCTGTATAATCTTATTGTTTAAAATGTTTATTATATGGTGGGCAAGGTGAAATAATAAAGTAATACATCATTAAATAGCAGGAGTGGGCTTCTTTCCTGATATTACCCATGACTCAGTTTCTGATATAGTTGGTGAGTTTTAATATCTGTGGAATATTGATCTATTCTCATGCTTTAGCTTTTTCTTTTTACTCTGCAATTTTTGTGAAGAACTAAACAATGAAATCGGAATTATTACCTAAACTTAGAAACAAAACTTACTTACAGTATGAAAGATTTAAAGATAAAAAATCATATAGGCAGAGCTAATTAATACATGCCAGTGCAATGATACCCTTTTATTTTCTTTGGCTCCATTCGGAAGATTACAGCTAAGAAGTTCTTCTCAAAGATTTCCAAGATATGGTTATGATTTCTATCTTTTTAATTAGTTCAGCAGTAGGTGGCTAGCAATTTTTAATTAAATAAATAATGGATACATGAGTGTATTGGAAAATTGAAATATTTAATTTTGTGCATGCATGTATGGCTGGATTTGCTGTGCTTGTTTAATGTTTATCAAATTATTCACTGAATAATTGTTGTCCTCTACAACTCACCCTTCAGGGCAAAGAGAGGGAGGTTTTACATATTTTACAAACTTTTGTAAGTCAAAAGCATGAGTTTCACATTCTCTCTGGGATATCTTATATTAAAGTATGCAGGGAAATGGAGAGAGCCCCTCGATCTAATCAGGCACCTAAATGCTCCTTCAAATCCATTGTTAAAGCACTCAGGGTGACGGTCGAAGGATTCCAGTCAAGTTTCAAAGTTAATGTTGTCTGCATGACTTTCATATATTCTTTTGCGAAATTAAAATGCACACTAAATTGGCTCCCCTTAGTAACTAATCACATATGTAGTGTCCAAATCTGAATCTTGGAATATTGATTCACCAATCTCTTCATCCATTTATTTTAAGAGTTAAGACCAGGACTAACTTTTGGGCTCCTCTGGTTAAGCTGGCTTCTGCACTTGAGTCTCCTTTTTTCCTTCTGACAGAGGATTGAAGATCTCTGACAAAGGCACAGACACACTTGTGAGTTGGCTCTGCAAAGTCTACCAGGCCTGTCCATAACACTATGCACTTAAAAGCTAGCCACGGGGCGCCGTGAGGCACGACCAACAGGTCAAAAGGAAGGCTGTTAAGCTTCCCATGAACATTATATATGTGAAAACTAATTAGCCAACTCAACATGTGCAATAAAAGCTTCGCAATTCGCATAAGAAGAATTTTAGGAGAGAACTCTGTGATGTACAGGCACCTATTTCCTTCCAAATTACCTTTGAAGTTGTCAAGCTGAGCCTCAAAAGAGTGCTAGTCACATTTTAGTTAGTCAAGTTCCCTTTAAATTTTTATTTGGGGAGCATACAGGTCGTTTTCAGGAACTGCTTATGAACTTTTTGGGAGCAACGCAATTAAGCTTGCTGAGCAAGGCCACAGTAATCTGGATTAAACTGATATTGACTCAAGCAAAGTGGCAGTGTTAATTTTTCCATTTAATTGTTCGAAAGAACGTTATGTTGTCTGTTTTGCCCTGCTGATATCTGTGCCAGATCTTTTTGCTGGATCTTGATTTTTCTTTTCTTGAATTTGGCTAAGGAGCTAGAAAAAAAGACTTGATTGGATAAGCCTCCTGATTAGATCTAGTGCTTCCAATTATCGCAGAAGACATATGATGAAAAAATTAAGATTGTCATAGTTACAGTGGTCACCATATCTAGCTGGACTATGAACTAAGATTAAGCAGATCATAAGCTATAGTTCTAACTTTTTAGTGATGCATAGAAAAAATGGTGGATAAGTAGAATAATGAAGAAATTCTTCATCGTCATTATGATCTTTCATTAGTTTGATTTTTGGAGCCAATTATGTAAAGTAAGTATGTAATGAATGTGCTAAGAATTTTTATCAGTTTCCCCTCTAATTTTAAGAGGATCATTTCAGTGGATATGAGCTACCGAAACATAACCTGACATACTGCTAAGTGCTTTCTTTTTGGTAAAATTCACGGGCATAACTTTTAAATTTTGATCTGAGAGAGAGAGGCAATAAGTGGTGTATAATCTTTCACTTGAAGTTTATGTATTTCTAACATTACTACAAAACTGTTCATATACAATTTACAGAGTATAGAATAACAACTTCCAAATTAGCAGGAAAGAACATTGAGGAGCGAGCTTCTAGATCTAATCAAGCACCTAAATACAGCTTCCAGTGCATTTTCAAAGCTGTCAAGGTAAGCCTCGAAGGTTTCCAGCCTGGTTTCTAAGCTGGTGTTTTCTTCTTGGACTCCAGGTGTTATTCTCTGTTTGTGTACCAATCTTGAAAGCAATGACCATTTTGATTGCTTAGGCTTCAAAAGTGGCACACACAGGAAGGACAAGAGCGTTTGGAAAATTGAAATGCATACTGCATTAGCTTCTCTAAGTGCTCTAATTGCAGCTATTGTATCTTGTTCTGCATCTAGCAAGACTGGTACTGCAGTCTCTTGATCTATTTGTTTCAGAGTCAAGATAGACATTTTGGCATCCCTCTTGATCTTCTTGCTGAAAGAGGTAAATCTTTCAACGCTGTCATCTGTAGTTGAATCTCCTTTTCTCCTTCTGAGAGATGATTGAAGATCTCTTACTTTTTCTTTATATTGTGAGACAAGTTCCCTTGTAGTGCCGCAAACATCAAGAAGCCTCACTGATTTGTCCAATAAATCGTCAACCCATTTAGCATCTAGACTTTGGGATAGGGTTTGACGGGAAGGCAAGTTGAGAAGACCATCTATGCTCTTGTATAATCTCTCCAATATGAGTAGACCATGGTACACAGTGTCTGCTTTTGGTGTAGCAGGTGCTTCTAATGATTTGAGCTTGTTGAGCTCTTCTTCTACTCTCTGGATGGTAGGGTGTGATCTCCCAGGGAAACTGATTGACCGAACGTGGTTGGGTTTTGAAGAAAGAGCAGCCATTTCTTATGTGTTTTTTTTTTCTGATGAGGGGATATCTCGAACTGGTGATTAAATTGAAGCTTCAGAGTTGGTATTTATAGGCAGACAGCCATAGGAGGAGATAAATTGAGCAGTAACCTAATTAAATCAGCATGTGATTGAATTGCTGGATCTTTTTGGAACTCGTAAACCTGCTACACATTTGGCCTACAAAGGCTCTGCTGATTACTTTTATTAGTCCTCGTATTATTGGATGAACGTGAGGCATCTCATTATCATGTGGGTATTGAATAGATTCCCTTTTTGGGTCTCCAGAAATGGTGCCAATACTATGACACATGATTTTTTTTATTGGTATTATGTGATTGAAGATGCATTAGCTTCAAGGAGTCTGTTTTACTTGTTCAGTTGTTTAGTTAGTTTTTGTCTGTAACAGGTGGCCACCTAAGCTTGTCCCCTCCATAAAAGCTTAAATCTGTCAACTACTAGAACAACACATATTTAGATAACTGAGATATGAATTATTAAAGAATAGTGGGATATTTTAAGGTGTCAAAGACTTTAAAAGGGGCTAGAAGATCAATATAAAATTCATATTGCACGTTTGAAGTTTATTTTATGGAAATGTACACGTATGGGAAGGTTATTATTTGAATTTGTTTGGCAAGGTGCTAGGAGCATATCTTTACAAGCTTCTTGACAAGGTGTAATACTTCTTATAATTTTGAGGTCAAATTCAGAAAGGACAAAATTTACTTGGTTCGGTTTCCACACACCACAAGTAGTTGGATATATGAACCAAAGAAAATCAGATTGTGAGCTGTATTAACTAATTGATTAGGATGTGTTAAGATATGGTGGGTAAAGCGAATAGCTAAGAAATATTTCATATTCATTTGTAAACGAGTGCATTTTTGTCCAGATATTACCCTTAAATCAGTTTCTGTCATGGTAGGTGAGTTCTAATACCTGTGAAACATTAAGCCGTCTTCATGCCTTCAATTATATTTTATGAAGATTCACGCCTTCATTTTTTTACTCTATGCAACTTTGGAGAATAAAGTGAAATTGTTCCCTTTTTTTAGTATGATAATTTTAGTTTTCACTTGTTCATCCATCAAGGGATTTAGCATGCGGAGAAACACTAAAGGTTCTCTGAAAACGAAATAATCTCAGATGAAGCTGATTAAACACAATTAAAACTACACTTGCAAACCTAATTAATATGACGTATGTCCTTTGAAGAATTTATCAATTTCTTTTTCATTTAGGTCCCAAAATAGGTTAAATTACTCATTAATCTTTAAACAATTTTTAGGTTCTCATGGCTATATCTTTATAGAAAATGATAACAAAAATTGGAGACTCAGAAGCTTATCCTGTTGTTGGAACAGCCTTAGAAACTTGTGATATGCGAGAGTAGTATGATTCTATTATAAATTTAGATATCTGTTAATTGCATACAGAGGGGAACAAAATCATGTAAAAAGAGACAGATTAGATTTTTCATATAATCTTTCACTTGTATATTGTTCTTTTCTATCATAACTACAAAATTGTATATACAAAATTTGGTCAACCATACAGTTTAGAAGGAAACTGTATTATGTAGGGAGCTACTTGATCTAACATCTATATACTCTTTCCAATCCTTTCTCAATACTATCAAGTTGAGACTCAAAAGTTTCCATGTTCATGTTTGGTTCTTGGACTTCACATGATACTCTCTCTTCCCTTGTACACCAATCTTGAAACCAGTGACCATTTAGATGACTTAGTCTTCAAGAGTGGCACATACATGAAAGACAAGAGCATTTGGAAAATTGGAATGCATGATTTACTGACATTTCTCATTACTCTAATAAAAAATGCTATTTCCGACGCTGCATCTAGGAACAGTGATCCTTCAGTCTCCTCATTCATTTCCTTTAAGGACAAGACTAATCTTTTAGCGTCCTTCTTCATCTTTTTTCTGAAGGAGGCGAATCTGACTATGTTATCTTGCTTTCTCCTTCTGACAGATGATGCTACATCTCTTACATGTTCCTTACATTGTGAGACTAATTCCCTTATCGTGCCACAAACATCAAGAATTCTCATGGATTGTTCCGATAAATCTTCAAACTATTTTCCATGTTGGGAGAGGTGAGTCAAGTTAAGATGATCATCAACACATTTGTGTAGGTCTTCCAAAACAAGTAGACGACTGCAAATAGTCTCTGCTGTTGATGCAGTAGATACTTCCAGCACCTTGAGCTTGTTGAGAATCTCTTCCACTCTCTGATTGTGTGGTCTAGTGGGTAAACTGATTGACCTAATATGGCAAGAAGTAATAGCCATGGTTTTTAGTTTTTCTATGTTGTGAGAAAAGCTGAATGCTGGGATGAACAATAGGTACAAAGAAAGGTCATTTATATAAACAAAGAGGTATCAAGAAGCGAAAATGTGGTCATGTGGGTATCCCTTGGAATTTGGTAAATTGCTATGCATTTGGCAAACAAAGGCTCTAATAATTAGTCATCTAAATGAATAAATTATGTGGCTTTGCCTTCATATGGGGTTCAATTACAGGTTGCCTCTTCCCTAATTACTAAGAATTGTCGCATCACTTGGTGGTGCAATCAAGATGCTAATAACGTGGGTCCACTGAGGCTGTCTCGTTTGGAGGAGCTGATGTCCACTAATTACACAAAATACAGATTAGAAGATCTGAAAAGATATTTTTTGCCAATATTCAAATGGACGTGTAGTGTATATTTAATTTATACACGTATGTGTGGTTGTTTGCCATATTTTATTTGGAAAAGGAAAACTAGTTGATTACTAAATTGCACCATGGCCAATGATAATTTAATGCCAGAAATTATTTCAAATAAAGTGGCATGGGTAACTGCCCATTAATTTGTTCAAAAGAACAGTCTGTTGGCTGCTTTGTCTGTGATTTCATGCCAAATCCTAGTTTGAATCTTGATTTTGTTTTTGTTTAATTGGCTGGGGATCTTGATGAAGTTTAATGATATAGGATTAGCTCCTTTACTAGATCTACATCTTTTAATGAACTCGAGAAGGAATTCAAACAGATACTAAATCAATATGGTCAAGTTAAGGTGGTCATGTCATAGTTAGTTGGACTTTTAACTAAAGATAAGCAGATCATGAACTATATTATCTAATTTACCTGTGATGTATATCTTACTGATGAGTTCAGGTTCAAGGAGGCTGATCAAGGGACCCAGGTTTTGGTCTTCCTTTATAGAGGGAGGTTTCTTTTATATCAAGAGCGTCTTGGGGAGGCCGGTGGAGTTTATTAACACCCTAGGGTCACTATGCAGAGGAAATGTTAGAAGAACTCCAGAAGCCTGTGTAGCAAGAACTTATTGTGAAGCTTCCTTCACACAGACCTCATTCTTCTGCAATTCATGTTATGAATTAATATCACTTTTCAGGTCAATAATTTACGCCATCTGACTTTACATGAGAGGCTTCCTTGGTTTGATTAACAAAACCAATTATGTGGCATAAGTGTGTAACTGACGGGCTATGAGTTTTATCTATTTCAAGCCCCACAGTTTTAGGAGATCATTTCGACAAATAGTTTGGGCTATTGATGAAAAAGTACACGCATAGAGAGAGATTAAATTGATGTATATTCATTCACTTGAGATTTGTGTATTTCTAGCATAGCTACAAAACTGTTTATATACAATTTACAGTGTGTGGAATAACAACTGACAGATTAGGAGGAGGAAATATTGAGGAGCGAGCTTCTAGATCTAATGAGACACCTAAATGTTGCTTCCAATCCATCTTCAAAGCTGTCAAGGTAAGCCTCGAAAGTTTCCAGCCTTGTTTCCAAGCTCATGTTTTCTTCGTGGTATTCAGATGTTATTCTTTCTTTTTGCACCAATCTTGAAAGCAAAGACCATTTTGATGGCTTAGGCTTCAAAAGAGGCACACACAGGAAGGATAATAGCATTTGGAAAGTTGAAAGACATACTGCATTAGCTTCTTTTAGTGCTCTAATCACAGCTACTGTATCTTGATCTGCATCTAGCAAGACCAATACTGCAGTCTCTTGATCCATTTGTTTCAAAGTTGAGACAGATCTTTTGGCGTCCCTCTTGATCTTCTTGCTGAAAGAGGTAAATCTTTCAACACTGTCATCTGTAGTTGAATCTCCTTTTCTCCTTCTAAGAGATGATTGTAAATCTCTTGCATTTTCTTTACATTGTGAGACGAGTTCCCTTATTGTGCCACAAAGATCAAGAAGCCTCACTGATTTATCCAATAAATTGTCTAGCCATTTTGCATTTAGACTCTGAGAGAGGGCTTGAAGTATTTGAGGCAAGTTGAGAAGATCATCTATGCACTTGTACAATTTCTCCAAACCGATTAATCCATTGCTCACAGCTGCTGGTGCAGCTGATACTTCCAATGATTTGAGCTTGTTGAGCTCCTCTTCAACTCTCTGGGTGGTAGGGTGTGATCTCCCGGGCAAACTAATTGATCGAACGTGATTGGGTTTTGAAGAAAGAGAATCCATTTCTTATTGTTGTTGGTTTTTTTTTTCTAATGAGGGGATATCTCAAACTGATGATGGAATAGTAAAACTAGAGTAGGTATCTATAGTCAGAACACCATAAGGAGGAGATAAGATGAGAGATTGCCAAATTAAATCAGCATGTGTTGCACGGCTGGATCTTTTTGGAGCTTGTAAACCTGTTACGCATTTGGCCAACAAAAGGTTCTACTGAACGTGCGGCATCTAATAATCATGTGGGTGCTTAAAAGATTTGATCCTTTTTGTCTCCAGAAATGGTGCCAATACTGTGACACTACATTTTTATTTGATTGAAAATGCAACAACTTCAAGAAGCCTGTTTAATTGGTTTAGTTAAGTTTTTGTCATGTAGTAACAAGTGGCCTGAAGTTTATTTTATTATGGAACTGTGCACGTACTGAAGTTTATTTTAATCCGTGTTTATACTAAACTTTACCAACTAGCAGAGACGGATTCAGGATTTTGAGATATCGGATGATGCCATGCTTTTTAAAGAGAAGCCAAGTAAGCCTTCAAGAAGAAAAAATGTGGTCATGTGGGTATGCCTTGAAATTTGGTAATTACTCTGCATTTGAAAAACAGAAGTGAAAAGCTCTAATAGTTAGATTATGTGGCTTTGGCTTCATACGGGGTTCAGTTACAACAGGTTGCACCTTCCCTAACTACTAAGCATTGTCGCATCACGATGCTAACAGCGTTGATGTCCATTGATAATACAAAATACAAATTAGAAGATCTAACATGTAGTAGATATTTAATTTATACACGTGTTTGCCATTTTGATTTGCAAAGGGAAAACTAATTTATTAATAAATTGCACCACGGCCAATGAGTGAAATTATTGCCAAAAATTTCTAAGCAACATTTCTTTTTATGGTTGCAAAATGGAGAACCAAAGACTCAGGTGTCCTAACTAATGTAGGTAATATGGATGGAGTAAGAGATAAAGCTCTTTAACTGTTAGTTCGTTACCATCTTTTACTCTTTCTCCAAGGTTTTAAAATTTTATAACCAAATTTTGTAATGGGTTTTAGTACAGTAAATAAAATTCTACCAAGTCAATTTCCCAACCGTGTTTGGAGGAAATCCCCATTTGGACGTGGGAGCACAAACTCTGATATTGTCCATGAGGCTCAAGAGCGCCTTAAGCCATGTCGCCCTAGATCTTTGTCTTCAAGTAATCTCTTCAAACTCGGGCATTCTTGCAACTAAATCATCTTCCCACTGAGACCTGTGATTTTGGATTTTCTTCAATTCTGCTAGTTAAGCCAGCACATGTTGATTCTGAAGATCCACGTTCCCATGCATAATACTGCCCTTACTCCATTCTTTCAGCTAAGCGACCCGCACAAAATCAGGATTACTATTGATGTTGGAAGGACGGTGCACTAACTTATGACAAATCCAAGAAGCAAAATTTTCTCTTGAAAGCAACATTGATGTGGATGATTAATGATTTTCATGCTTTTTCAAGAATTTGAGATTGTGATTTGAAATCTTACCTGAGACTTCATATCACATTCCAAACGCAAGCTACGTGGGCCGCGAAATCAGCCCGGCCCAAGAATGAAAAGACACACACGGGCCGAGTTCATACCCTTCTAATTTTACCTGAACCTGTCTATCTCCCCCGTTTCCGTCTTCTTCAGTTCCTTTCTTTCTCAGGCAAGGTAAGCTCTCAAGTCACAACAGAGAAGCTTTAAGCTCTTAGTTCTTCGTTTCTTTCCACAGAGAGAGTTTTTGTTTTCTAGCTTTAGTTCTTCTCGTTGATTTTCTGGTAAAATAAATAGTCCTTATACTTTTGAGTTTCATAGACAATAATGTCAATTTCTGATCAAGTTTTTGAATTTTAGATTTGAATTTGACTCACGAAAGGATTTTGTTTTTCATAATATATCCAGAATTTAAAGAATCGTGATCAAGTTATAGAGGGGATGGATTTAGTTGTGATGAACCAGGTATTTTTGGTTTCTTATATGGGTGCTTTTTTATTTTCATAAAAAATATTGTGTGGGTGGCTGATGAACAATGTTTTGACAATGTGTAACTAGGTGTGATTGGCTTGATTGAAATCTTTTCTTTTGCAGGGCGTAGACGGAAGGATATTTGGTATTTGGTAAAGAAAACTCGGGTTCAAGGGAAGATAGGTAATTTTTGTTTGATCAATTCCGTATGATGCTTTAACATGCTAAATTCCAATGTGGATTTATGAATTCCTGTTGTGTATGTGATAAACAATTGGTGCACCTGAAAACTAAAAAAATAACTACAGACTCAATCTCAAATCAATTGAGGTTGGGTTTATGAATCCTCACTCATTGGGATAATACTCAATCATGTGAAAAACTTGTGCTCCTGAAAATAACTAAAACGAATAATTTGATTTAAACTGTATTAGTAAAGTTAATACGGAGAATGAATGTCTAGTGCAGTAGCAAATTTCCAAAATGGGCCAACGATGCCCTTAACAAAGTGGTAACTTCTGTAAATGTATCCCCACTGCGTGAGAAATTATAGAAGAAAAAGTATGTCTAAATGGAAACATAAAATATACAGGAGAATTTCCTCCCGCTCTTCATCCTATGCACGTCAGTCACCTGTGTATGTTTGTGTTTGCATGTCCTTTCGGGTGAGATTTCTTCTTTGTTTCCGCTGAATTCATGTTCATCCTTTTTTTTTATTTCATCATTTTGTCTTAATGCAATGAGAAAACATAGTATTTAGATGATTTGTAGAGGAGTACAGAAAGGGGACTCATTGTCCATGAAGTACATGAATGAAAATCATTATAACTAACTAGTGCTGTTAAATCACTTTAATAGGCCTAAAGGAACTATACTTATCCAAAGAATTACCACAAGAAGCTGTTGCCACTCATCTTGAAGGATTTCTCTGTTACGAAGAAAACGGTTTTGAAACTAATAATTACAAGAAAAGATAATAACACAAAAGATCCACTTCCTGGCAGGAAAATAGATTCTGGTCTGCATTATTCACTTTGAACTTTTCTAATTCGAGTATAGTCTTTCAATCCGTGTAATATATATTTCTAGTATAAGTACAAAATTATCCATTTACAAAATGTGGTGAACTACTATATAATTTGGTGTAGGAACTTCCAGATTAGCTGGAGAAAACATTCAGGAGCGAGCTTCTCGATCTAATCAGGCTCCTGAATGCTCCTTCTAATCTCTTCTCAATGCTGTCAAGTTGAGCCTCAAAAGTCTCCACTTTTGTTTCCATGTTCCTACTGTTTTCTAGGCCTTCATGTTCTATTTTTCCATTGTGTATCAGTTTTGAAACCAATGACCATTTTGGCTGCTTCGGCTTCAAAAGTGGCACTGACAAGAAGGGCAAGAGCATTTGGAAAATCAAAATGCAAACTGCATTGACTTCCCTTAGTGCTCTAATCACAGCTATTGTCTCCTGATCTGCTTCTAAGAATGCTGCGGTGAGAGTCTCACAGTTCACTTGCTTCAAGGACAAGGCTAATCTTTTGGCGTCCTTCTTCATTTTCTTGCTGAAAGTAGTGAACCTTGCAATTCCTGCTTCTGCACTTGAATCTCCTTTTCGTCTTCTGAATGAGGATTGAAGAGCTCTTATGTTTTCCTTATAGTGAGAGACAAGTTCCCTTGTAGTGCCACAAACATCAAGAATCCTAATCGAGTTCCCCAGTAACTCCTCAAACCATTTAACATGTTGGTGCTGGGAGAGTATCCGAAGAGTTTGAGTCGACTTAAGAAGATCATCCATACACTTGTGTAACTCCTCCAACCCGAGCAAACTATTACAAATTGTCTCTGCGGTTGGTGCAACTGATGTCTCCAATCCTTTAAGCTTATTCAACACCTCTTCAACTCTCTGAGTTGTGGGGTGTGATCTGTTGGGCAAACTGATGGATCGAAAAGTCTTAGTTTTTGAACAATCAAGAGCAGCCATGGCTTCTTATGTTTTAATTTGAGTTTCTTTGTGAGAAGAGAGAATAAATTTGGTGAGCAATGAGCATCAACCAAAGGACATTTATATAGGTCGATGGCACAATAAGTGTGTAACGATTCAAAAAAAAAGAGAATTATGTAAATAAGTATTTAAGGGCATAATTGTCCTTTCACGTTTTAAATGAATAAATAAATAAATAAATAAAACAGATTAGTATTTATTTATTTTAATGTTATTTGACTAATTCTTGAATTAGTCTCCTAATCCAATTAGTCCTCTCTCTCTCACGCTTCTAAACTCCCTCTCTCACGTTCTCCATCTTCCTCACATTATTTCTGCCAAAAATATCAATAATTTTCATGCTTGAAGAACTCACAAAAAATTTTTAAGCAAAAGAAAAAGTAATCAAAACGTCAAGGCTAAGAGAGGTTCGTCGAGAGAGGTATACTTTGAAGTGAATTGGGAGTGGTTTGGAGGAGTTTTCCGGGCAGCAACATTAAAGTTTGAACATCGATTAAGGTATGAGTTTCTCTCATGGAATTCTTTCTCCAAGAGTACTTTCTTTCGGACGTTTCTTAAACTCTTGAAACTAAGGTTGTTCCCCTTCGTATGTCCTTGTCCTTAGCTCCCTAATGAATTTGTAGGATGGGTATGTTGTGCTGCTAGATTTTTGCATGAATGATGTGTTTAAATTAAATATGAATGTGTTTATGTGCGGGGAATCGCGATAATGATCATCAGAATATGATCGGAAAAAGTTGATGTATGGGTGTGTATAGGGCAGTGTTTTAGGCATTGTTTTGGGGTATATAAGTTGTTTATTTATCATGTATTTTATGTGTGAAATGGGTGTGCAATGCGATGTTTATTTTGATGAAGCATAGTGAAGTGAATGAACCATGAAATCTCCCTAAGAACTAATGTGAAACTTGATGAAAAAAAGTGCAGAAAAATAGTGGAATAAATTTCCAAAAACATAGAAATAGGTTTAAAAAGAATCTGGAAATTTTTGGGATGTCAAAGAATTAAAAAAATATTAAGGGAATAAAGGTGAGGCTGTGGGGGTTCGAACCCACCACCTCATAGCCTCCATTCCCAGCGAAATTAAGAGGAAAATGAGGGGGGCTGTGGGGGTTCGAACCCACAACCTCCCTATTCAAGCGAATTTAATTAAAAATAATAATAATAGTAAATTAAAATTCTAATTAAAGTTGGAAAATTAATTCTCTTATGTAAACATGGAGATTTAATTTAGAATCTTAATTAAAAATAGGATATTAATTCTTTTATGTAAATATTGAGATTTAAATTGGAATTCTAATTAAATTAGAAAATTATTCTTTCATGTAAATGATTGAAATTTAATTTAGAATTCTAATTAAAATAGAAAATTTATTATTTCACGAAAATGTTGAGACTTAACTTAGAGTTCTAAATTTATGAATATTAGAACTAAAATCAATGAAAAATATAAATGATATCCAAATAATTCAAAATTTGGGTTCTCGTGTCCAAACCTCCGTATTGATACATAAGTCATACGTGAGTGAAATATTCAAGAATAATGTCATCTACTTAGATCAAAAATCAAAGATCTTGGCATATATACAAGATACATAAGTCTTGTAATACATAATCTTAGAAAAACAAGAATTCACTTAACGAACTATAAATGAAGCCTCATGGCTTGTATGTATAGATATATAAGTTTAACATACGTTCAAGAATAAGTGAACCTAAGATATACGTAATGAAATGAAGAATGTGGCGACAATCATGATGTGAGGTTAATGCATATGATGAGAGCAATCTTAAATGAGCTTAAGTAAATGTTACCGATACATACTCACCAATGAGAGTGTAAGATAATGAAGAGACTAGTCTCTATGAATACTCTAACAAAAATATTGAGTTTAAAACACTTAATACTAATGATGAGATGAGAAATCATCTATTGAGCTATGATGTCTTCATACTAGAAGCAAACTTCTATGATGTATGAGTTGCATGTAATGGAACTTTATACCGAGCACCGATAGGCTAGCTATGAGTGGTGATGCCTTCTTTCGGGAAGGGCGGAGGTTCACGTAATTCTCATGAGATGAGACTGTCCGGCTTGCCGGGTATGGGTCTCCATACATCTCCTAGTCTTTGAACCTATATTGCCACTATAGGGATCTGGCGGGGTTAAATTCCCATATACGCTAGCATGTTATTGAATCGCTTTGGCCGGTGATTCCACCTCTTTTCGGTGTGGGAAAGACACTGGATTTCATGATGCTCACATGATCTATGTCGGTTAAAGTTAAAGTTCCCAATGAATGAATGAGGCCAGCCTCAAACGAATCATATAAAGAAATGAATGATACCGAAGGTGTTAGGATAGGATAATCAAGAGGTGAGCTAGATTCAGGTAATGACATTAGGTCATTCCTGATCATTGCACAGCAAACCCGATGAGAGTCTTAAACTACATCCTAGGTATACCTGGTGTTCGCACTGGCCTATGAATGAATTGAAATGAAATACGAATGAATGAGTGAAGCAGACTCTGTGTTTGCTAAAGAAGGCTCCCTAGTTGAGGTCCCATATGTTGAGCCCTCATTTTGGAAAGTCTTAAAGTTAAGTCTATGATAATAAGGTCTCATGGTATACGAATGAATAATATGAAAGAAAGTATGTGTTATATGTTATGTGTTATATGAATATGTTATGTTTTGTGTGCTATACGATAATTATAATGATGCATGTCACTCTCATGGCATAACTTTCCCAATCTCAATTTGGCAAGTCCACTGACTTGACTTCCAAAAATCATGTTGTTAGGAAAGAGCTATTCTTCCTCATGCATGTCCCTGGTGTGTACTTGCATATACTCATACTTAGTACAAGTGTGTACTAATTCCATACGAACATCTACTTTTAGGTGCAAGCACAGGTGGACGCTAGAGCTACAGGTTCGTTGTTGCAGCTATCCGGACATCAGTATTCATCCGGAGTTTGGTAGGTCCTCATGCTTTCGAGGATGCTACCGTTTTACATTCTAGCGTAGTTTTAGAGTTGAGCTAGCGGAGCATGTTCCACTAGCGTTTCTTTCCTGTTTTGGTTCAAACTTTGTATTGGCGCTATTTTGGCCGATATACAAGTAATACTTAATGAATTATTTCTTTCAGTTGCTTATCTCTTAAATGTTAGATGGTTGATGATGAACGATTACGAAATGTTAAGAATGTTCAGCAAGTATGATTAAAGAATCAAAAATTTCAAATTTTCCGCTAAAATTAATCTATGTAAAGTAAGAATGACGTAAGCAGGCTTGTCTGCGACCTCTGAGAGGTCAACGACGCCGGTCTCGTCTGGGGCCTAGATTCCGGTCGTGACCAAGTTGGTATCAGAGCGCTAGGTTAAATTCCTGAAATAATGAGTTCACATCAACCACATTGAGTAGTTTCTAAGTCATGGTAGTGAAGTGCACCACTATCCTGGATTAGAGACTGCATGATGCGTAGGAAAGACTTCCCTTCTTCTTATCTTATTGTGCTTTTCCTAATGTTTTAATTCTTGGTGTTACAAACGTGTCTAACATCAACCTTGGGTTTTTTTCAGAGAATGAATACCTGGGGAACTAAGGGTCTGAGGACGGGAGCAGCAGCAGCTAGGGGTAATCAGAATCCACCCCAGGCTCCAGCTGAAGGAGTGGCCATGCCAGTGAACCCAGCTGGGTTGACTGATGCGGAGGTGAGGGCATCTCTAGCCCAGATGGCACAAGCCATCACGATGCAGGCTCAAGCTATGACTGCCCAAGTCAACCGGCAGGATGTTCTGAGGGAAAACCCACCGGTTCGCAACATAGCTGACAGACTGCGAGACTTCACGAGGATGAATCCTCCAATTTTCACAGGGGCTAAGACTTCAGAAGATCCTCAGGAATTTATAGACGAGTTGCATAAGATACTGGTGGCCATGGGGGCCACTGATATTGAGAAGGCTGAGTTGGCTTCCTACCAGCTCAAAGATGTTGCACAGACTTGGTGCAAAATGTGGCGAGATAGCCGTGTCCTAGGAGGGGTGCCAGTCACTTGGGAGCTGTTCAAGACAGCATTTTTGGAAAGGTTCTTCCCTAGAGAGATGAAAGAGGCCAAGGTTGAGGAGTTCATCAACCTCAAGCAAGGATCCATGACTGTCAGGGAGTATTCCCTGAAGTTTGTGAAGTTATCAAGGTATGTGCTTCCCTTAGTATTTGATAACAAGAATGATGAGAGTACTTAACTTTGTTGAAATCATCCAGGTATGCTACTCCCTTGGTTTCTACCAGCAGGGAGGAGATGAGCAGATTCCTCACAGGAATCAATGGAAACCTAGAGGAAGATTGTCGGGCTGCGATGCTCCATGATAATATGGACCTTTCTAGATTAATGATGCATGTCCAACAGGTAGAGGACAGCCGAAAGAGGAGAGGTGTACGTGATGTTAGGAGGCCTAGGCCTCAAGATCAGGCAGGTCCCAGCCATGGAGGCCACAGAAACAATTTTGGCGTCCGCGAGCAGCCCAAATTCAAGAAGGGGCAACAGAGTGCTGGAAATTCTGACCCTCAGAGAAATACAACGCCTAGAGGAGGCAGACCCGAACCCAAGAGGGGCAATGGAGGTGAGATGCAGCGTCCAAGGAAGACTTGTACTAAGTGTGGCCGAATGCACCTTGGAGAATGTAGACAGGGCACTAATGCCTGTTTCGGTTGTGGTAAGAGTGGACACATGGTCATAGACTGTCCCCAGAACAGAGGTCAGGCTGGGGGTAATGCTCAGCCTAGGCCTACCCCACATAATGCAGCAGCAGCCGAACCTCCGAAGAGGAACAGATTTTATGCCTTGAAAGGTAGGGAGGAGCAGGAGAAGTCCGCTGATGTGGTCACAGGTATGCTGCAAGTATTCAACTTCTGTTTATGCTTTACTTGATCCAGGGTCTACGCTTTCCTTTGTGACTCCTCTGCTTGCCCTTACCTTTGAAATACTACCTGAAGTTCTGCATGACCCTATAGTGGTTAGTACGCCTTTAGGAGAAAATGTGAGAACCGATAGGGTATACAAGAATTGCCCAATAGTTGTGAGTGGCAAGGCTATGTGTGCAAACTTGATTGAGTTACCCATGCGCGATTTTGATATTATTCTTGGCATGGACTGGCTTCACAGCTATTATGCTTGTTTGGACTGTCGTAGTAGGGTGGTGAGGTTTCGCTTCCCTAATGGAGAAGAGTTAGTCTGGGAGGGGTACAATCCGATTCGTCCTAACCCCTTGGTTTCAAATCTCAAGGCCAATAAAATGATGGCCAAAGGGTTACTATGTCATCTAGTGAGTGTTAATGATTTAGATCATGACGTTCCTTCCATAGACTCGGTGCCTGTAGTAAGTGAATTCCTAGATGTGTTTCCTGAAGATTTGCCTGGAGTCCCTCCCCTTCGAGAGATTGACTTTGGTATCGACTTAGAACCTGATACTAAACCAATCTCAATTCCTCCTTATAGAATGGCTCCAGCAGAACTCAAGGAGTTGAAGCTGCAGTTAAAAGATCTCACGGATAAGGGTTTCATTCAGCCGAGCATATCCCCTTGGGGCGCTCCAGTGTTGTTTGTAAAGAAAAAGGATGGGACCCTTAGAATGTGTATCGATTATCGGCAGCTCAACAAAGTCACTATAAAGAATAAGTACCCACTTCCCAGAATTGATGATTTGTTCGATCAGCTCCAAGGGTCTAGTTTCTTCTCTAAGATTGATCTTCGTTCAGGGTATCATCAACTTAGAGTTAGGGATAGGGATGTCCCAAAAACAGCTTTTCGTACCCGTTATGGTCATTATGAGTTCTTGGTTATGTCATTCGGTCTCACGAATGCACCTGCTGCATTTATGGACCTCATGAACAGAGTTTTCCGTGAATACCTTGACTCTTTCGTCATAGTATTCATTGATGACATTCTCATCTACTCTAAGACCAAGGAAGAGCATGAACAACATTTGAGACTAACCTTGCAGGTACTTAGACAGCATCAGTTGTATGCCAAATTCAGCAAGTGTGAATTCTGGCTGAGATCAGTGACCTTCCTGGGCCATGTTGTGTCCGATCAAGGTGTAGAAGTGGACCCCAGAAAGACTGAAGCAGTTAAGAAATGGCCAAAGCCTCTTACACCCACCGATATCCGTAGCTTTCTGGGATTGGCTGGTTACTACCGCAGGTTCGTGGAAGGATTTTCTTCCATTGCTGCCCCACTTACAACCTTGACAAAGAAGAAATCCAAGTTTGAATGGACGGATACTTGTGAGAAGAGTTTCCAGGAGCTCAAGGACAGACTCACTTCAGCCCCGGTACTTACTCTGCCTAAGAGTGGCGAGAATTACACTGTCTATTGCGATGCATCTAGGGTCGGTTTGGGATGTGTTCTTATGCAGGCTGGTAAGGTGATAGCTTATGCTTCCAGACAGCTCAAGGTTCATGAAAAGAATTATCCCACTCATGACTTGGAGTTGGCAGCTGTGGTGTTTGCGTTGAAGTTATGGAGGCATTATCTATATGGAGTACACGTGGATGTGTTCACGGATCATAAGAGTCTCCAGTACGTGTTCACGCAGAGAGAGCTGAATCTACGGCAACGCAGATGGTTGGAGCTGCTGAAGGATTATGACATGAATGTGCACTATCATCCAGGCAAGGCTAATGTTGTGGCTGATGCTTTGAGCAGGATGAGCATGGGGAGTACAGCCCACGTTGAGGATGAGAAGAAGGAGCTAGTGAAAGAGGTACACAGACTGGCCAGGCTGGGTGTACGGTTGGTTGACTCTACTAGTGGAGGTGTTTCAGTTCACCCTAGTTCTGAATCATCCCTGATAGTGGAAGTCAAGAAGGGTCAGCATCTCGATCCTGTGTTGATGGAGATGAAGGACTCAGTGTTGTTAAAAATGAATGAGTCTTTTGCTTTGGGAGATGATGGCATACTTAGATACCAGAACCGGTTGTGCGTACCAGATGTAGATGATTTACGGACCAAGATTGTTACAGAGGCCCATGGTTCCAGATATTCCATACATCCAGGTTCCACAAAAATGTATCATGATCTTAAGCAGATTTATTGGTGGGATGGCATGAAGAAGGATATTGCAGACTATGTGGCTAAGTGTCCTAATTGTCAGCAGGTTAAGGCAGAGCATCTTAAGTCTGGTGGTCTGACTCAGATTATTGAGGTTCCGACTTGGAAATGGGAGGCCATTAATATGGACTTCGTAGTTGGTCTTCCGAGGACTAGGAGGCAGCATGACTCTATATGGGTTATTGTGGACAGACTGACTAAGTCTGCCCACTTTATCCCTGTGAAGTCCACTTACAGGGCCGAGGATTACATGAGACTCTACATTGATGAGATTGTGAGATGGCATGGGATTCCTTTGTCTATTATTTCAGATAGAGGAGCTCAGTTTACTTCGCATTTTTGGAGATCTTTCCAGAAAAGCTTAGGCACGCAGGTGAAACTTAGCACTGCCTTTCATCCTCAGACAGATGGGCAGGCAGAGCGCACTATTCAGACATTGGAGGACATGTTGAGAGCGTGTGTGATTGACTTTAGAGGTAATTGGGATGACCATCTACCTTTGATAGAGTTCTCGTATAATAATAGCTACCACTCCAGCATTGGGATGGCACCATTTGAGGCATTGTATGGTAGGAGGTGTAGATCTCCAGTTGGGTGGTTCGAGGTTGGAGAGTCATCTATTTTGGGTCCAGAGATCATTCATGAGGCCCTGGAGAAAGTTAGAATGATTAGAGACAGGTTGGCTACCGCTTATAGCCGACAGAAGTCATATGCAGACAACAGAAAGCGACCCTTAGAATTTAACGTTGGTGACCAGGTTTACTTGAAGATATCGCCTATGAAAGGGGTGATGCGATTTGGTAGAAAAGGGAAGCTTAGTCCGAGGTATGTGGGGCCATATGAGATCCTACAGCGCGTGGGTGAGGTGGCCTATGAGTTAGCATTGCCTGCGGAGCTAGCTTCTGTGCATCCAGTCTTTCATGTCTCTATGTTGAAGAAGTGCCTAGGTGATCCAGCATCAATCCTACCTGTAGAAGGTTTGGGGGTTGGTGAAGACTTGTCCTATGAGGAAATACCTGTTGAGATCTTAGACAGACAGGTCAAGCGGCTGAGGAACAAGGAGATTGCCACAGTGAAGGTATTGTGGAGAAACCATCTTGTTGAGGGTGCTACGTGGGAGACTGAGGCCGACATGAGATCCCGATATCCACATCTTTTAACCTCTTGAGGTTAGGCTTCCTACTCGTAAAACTATAGTTCCTTATCTCTTCGTATTTGTTGCTATTGGCTGATTGTACATAGCAATTAAGTTATGATCTCATTGGCATTATGAGGTGAAATGGTGGTGTCATTCGGGGACGAATGTTCCTAAGGGGGGAATAATGTAACGATTCAAAAAAAAAGAGAATTATGTAAATAAGTATTTAAGGGCATAATTGTCCTTTCACGTTTTAAATGAATAAATAAATAAATAAATAAAACAGATTAGTATTTATTTATTTTAATGTTATTTGACTAATTCTTGAATTAGTCTCCTAATCCAATTAGTCCTCTCTCTCTCACGCTTCTAAACTCCCTCTCTCACGTTCTCCATCTTCCTCACATTATTTCTGCCAAAAATATCAATAATTTTCATGCTTGAAGAACTCACAAAAAATTTTTAAGCAAAAGAAAAAGTAATCAAAACGTCAAGGCTAAGAGAGGTTCGTCGAGAGAGGTATACTTTGAAGTGAATTGGGAGTGGTTTGGAGGAGTTTTCCGGGCAGCAACATTAAAGTTTGAACATCGATTAAGGTATGAGTTTCTCTCATGGAATTCTTTCTCCAAGAGTACTTTCTTTCGGACGTTTCTTAAACTCTTGAAACTAAGGTTGTTCCCCTTCGTATGTCCTTGTCCTTAGCTCCCTAATGAATTTGTAGGATGGGTATGTTGTGCTGCTAGATTTTTGCATGAATGATGTGTTTAAATTAAATATGAATGTGTTTATGTGCGGGGAATCGCGATAATGATCATCAGAATATGATCGGAAAAAGTTGATGTATGGGTGTGTATAGGGCAGTGTTTTAGGCATTGTTTTGGGGTATATAAGTTGTTTATTTATCATGTATTTTATGTGTGAAATGGGTGTGCAATGCGATGTTTATTTTGATGAAGCATAGTGAAGTGAATGAACCATGAAATCTCCCTAAGAACTAATGTGAAACTTGATGAAAAAAAGTGCAGAAAAATAGTGGAATAAATTTCCAAAAACATAGAAATAGGTTTAAAAAGAATCTGGAAATTTTTGGGATGTCAAAGAATTAAAAAAATATTAAGGGAATAAAGGTGAGGCTGTGGGGGTTCGAACCCACCACCTCATAGCCTCCATTCCCAGCGAAATTAAGAGGAAAATGAGGGGGGCTGTGGGGGTTCGAACCCACAACCTCCCTATTCAAGCGAATTTAATTAAAAATAATAATAATAGTAAATTAAAATTCTAATTAAAGTTGGAAAATTAATTCTCTTATGTAAACATGGAGATTTAATTTAGAATCTTAATTAAAAATAGGATATTAATTCTTTTATGTAAATATTGAGATTTAAATTGGAATTCTAATTAAATTAGAAAATTATTCTTTCATGTAAATGATTGAAATTTAATTTAGAATTCTAATTAAAATAGAAAATTTATTATTTCACGAAAATGTTGAGACTTAACTTAGAGTTCTAAATTTATGAATATTAGAACTAAAATCAATGAAAAATATAAATGATATCCAAATAATTCAAAATTTGGGTTCTCGTGTCCAAACCTCCGTATTGATACATAAGTCATACGTGAGTGAAATATTCAAGAAT